GCAGTTGGCTCATCAGATGGTTTATTGGGAAATTAGATATGTATCGTCCGTTTTATAATACAATATTACTTTAAAAAATACACACACCCTGCAGGGAAACCGCGGACTGGTACATACAATTTCTAGTTCCGTACAAGATCTTTATCGCCAAAAACGAACCAGTCCGATAGTAAGTAGATCCCCACCAGTTCAAAATCAGCGAAATGTGGGACTCTTAAAACAACTATTTTTTTTTCTCTTTTTTCATTAGAAATCTATATCTAAATTGGCGACTTTAGAACTGGTTCGGAATTATAGAAAAAGGGACGCAGAACGAACTAGATCTTATCTGTCGAAATTAGAACTAATTCGAAACTATCGAAAATGGGATGCAGCGGGGGGCTTGTTTACTTTACATAGATACGTGTTTGGCGGCTTTTTCGTTCAAATGGACTTTCATTCTGCACTTCGTAGATGCTATTTCATAGTTTGGTAATACAAAACAAAACTTTGTGTTAACATATTATCATCTTGGGGCCGTCTGCAATCTAAGAACAGCGAGCAACTCTGCAAACTCAACTCCAGCTAAAGGTATGTAAATGTACATTTCTTACAATCATTCAAACAAATTTAATTTCGAATTGAAAACACATTTCTTCCAAAATAACTTAAAATCGCACACACGGAAGAACCAAAAAGATTGAAAAATCATGATACTTTTTTCTTTCGTCTGTCGATTTTAAAATTGGTTCGGAACTATAAAATTTAGGACTAGTTCGGAACTATCGAAAAAGGGATGCAGTGGGGGGCAATTGACACTTCCTAGGACATCGCCGTGTTAAATTCGCCAGTTGCTTGCATGCAAAAGAGATTTAACGCGAAGCAGTACTGGGTCTAAATGTACTAGAAGCGCAACAGTTCAGAACTAGAGACTTTCCCCACAGGGCACGTCCAGATAAATATCTACATACATACTTGCTTGCATTTGTATATGCATACATACATACATTTGTATGTATGTACAAATGTACAGAAGAAACGAACTGAAAACGAAACAAAACTATTTTATTTTGCGCAAGGTAAAGTTAAATAGGAATGAGAAAAACTATACGCAAATATATGCATACGCTTATCACTAACTATTTAGAGCAATGGCCCAGTAAATGTTGGAGGGGTGAGATGCGTGAGTGTGGATATATCTACACATGTGCATACTTCAAGCACGGCAATAAAAGAAATAACTAATGAGTTGGTGCGAGTGGAATAATATTAACTTAACCCAGCGAAAGCTATAACTCGTAAACAAGAGCTCCTAGAAAATAAATGAGGGTAAATGTAAAGCGACGTCAAATTAGTAAACATCATCTGTCATAGACATTCATGAGTCCAAAAGTTCAATTTTGTTGGCCAGTGTAATATACCCAATTGTTCATTTAACCATTTTTTAATATTAAAAAAAATCCTAAAAATTTATCATATTTCGAAAAAATTTTAGGGCCTTTCTAACTACAAAGCAAAATGATAACAAACCTAAAACAAAATATTACACAAAATTTTCCTGGGCTTTACATCATATTTTAGTAAAAATAAGCCTATAATTCCCAAGCTGACAAAGAAATGAAAATGTGTATTTTTTTTTGTTTACAAAAAAACTTGTCAAAAATATAAGTCAAAGTTATAGAAAGCCTGCATGGTTAAATAATAATAAGGTGTTGTCACTTAGGGGGTGGTTGTTGTAATTTTGGCAATTTCGGTATACCAGCGTTAGAGTAATGCCTACTATATTTATTCCAATTTTATTTCTGGGCAAAATGGAACAAAAAATAGAGCAGACAATTTTGTGAAAAAAGTATGCGCAGGCAGTGTTGCCAGAATATTTTTGTACCCCATCCCCATATCGGCCCGCAGTTATCCCCAAAAAATCCCAATTTTTCTTTAAATCCCCATTTAAATCCCCTTTAGTAAGAAATAAAAAAATCATTTATTCACATTTGTGTTAGTTCATTTTAATCCAGTTTTCATTTTAACACAGTTTTCATTTTAACACAGTTTTCATTTTATTACGGTTTTGAATACTTTTCTCTACACATTTTCACAAATTTATATATGTATATAGACATACGTACATATGTACATATATGCATGAGCTCATTTGGTTCTACGTACAACTCCGGCCAGAGATTTAGCACCAAATTTCAAAGTTATATGTTTTTATAACATATGCTTATTTATTTATTTTTACTAATTTTCTTTTAAAATATAATTCAATCTACAACAGAAACAGAATAAATAAAAGTTTAAAATCAAAAAGTAATCAAACTTTTTTAGTGTAATAAAGTACTAGTCTCAAATAGCTAAAGAACACCATTTATTTTTTAGAATTTCTTTCGTGGAGGTTGTTGCGAAAATTATTTGTTCAGTGAAAGCAAATCAAAGCAGACATCTGCGCCGAATAATGCTTTGACGGCGTTTGGAAAACGTTACAAACATATCGCGCAAAAAGAATGTACTAATAAAATCTTTATTCGAGAAATTTTCATGGGCAGCCAGAAAAATATATGTTTTGACTTCAATATCAAAGTTTTAAACCAAACAAAAATCCCCATAAAATCCCCATATCCCCCAAACGAAAAAATCTATCCCCAAATGGTTTCATAAATCCCCAAAATGGGGCAAAATCCCCACATCTGGCAACTCTGTGCGCAGGTATCACTGTTTCTTTGTTTCGCTTTTGCTTTGACCTTTCGTTTCAAATTCATTGGAAAATTTTAGCGATAATTTCCAATAATTGTGATTTTGTAAGTAAATTTTTGGTAAAATATACATATACTATGCATATCCAACATATTATTGGAGCAGTACCTCGGATGGCTACGATAATGCACTTTGGTCTAACAATTTAAACGCATAATTATTTTATAATATAACCGATAGAATTCAGAAACGTAATTTTAAAATGGTAACGAAAATAAAGGTCGTAATAAAATTCCATTTAAAGTTTAGATATTTAACAAGTAATTTTTAGCAAAAAAAAACCGACTTAAAAAAAATATATATATATCTATATATTTCATGACTCAATGATCGGATCTAAACCAAATTAGTATGGAACCACCTCTGAGACACTACCTTTCGTAGTCCAAAGTTATGTGGTAACATACATAAAAAAAAATAAAAATATTCCAACGAACTGATAACCTCCTCCTTTTTTGGAAGTCGGTTAAAAACTAAGTACGCATATACATGTACTTCAGAACTTAAGGAAAAAATACAAATAAAATTCCATACGGGCTAATATGTCATTTTTATTAGAATTTAAGAATAATTAAATAAAGAGAACGGCATAATTTAACTTGTTTTAATATGAATAAATGAAAGACGGAAAATAGTCCGTATTTTTTAAGTTTTAACCATCATCATATGTGTGGGTTACGACCGTGTGACCTTTTAAGTTTTACAAATAATAATTTTAAGGTAGAAAAATTAAACTGAATAATAATTATTAAAACCAATATATTTGATCGAAAAAATAAAAACTAAGTAATAATAATTTCTTTTTAGCGAAAAAATGAAACTGTAATTACACTGGTTTACAGAAAAAATATTTTACTGATGCAAGTTTCATTTAACTGGTGTGGGGTCCACTGATATATTTATGTATTGGAAATAGTACCCAAAAAGCAGTAAAAAGAATCCTAATATTTTCCCCCTTTTTCTACTACCCCAAAATGTATGGCCGCAATTGGCATGCAGAAAAAGTGAGGTTATGTAAGTGGCATCACCTTATATTTATTTACTTACTGCTCCCTTTCATTTTTTCATACAGTTGATACTTCCTTTTGGCTTAAAAAATAGGCAGGGATTCCACTCTTATTTTGGTACAATATGATCGTAATGTTTTTCAAATTCGAAATTCAAGAATTTCCATTTTTGCGATTGTAGAAGAATAAGTGTATATTTGCAAATTACTGCGAAGAATGGAGTGTCATATCATTAAAGGTTCAGAGGATTAACGAAACAAACAAAAATTTTATGGTCTCATATTTCCTTCGCACAGCATTTTTATTTTTTCTAATTATTCCTTTTGTTTAGCGCTGTAACCGCTTAAGTTGTATTTTTTAATTTATACATGTGAATTATTTTGAATAAGATTTTTTCATTTGCACCTGAATTTCGGGTACATTTTAGGGCGTTTTCGAATTGGCTGCCGAGATAGGTCGATCTTCCACTCAGCAGTCGATATAAAATCTTTTACTGCGCGATTTCTGCAACAAGGCTGCAATATTGCGGTAATTATTACGTGCCTTGAACACACCCTTACACTTTTGTGAAATCGGAATCTTTTCTATGAAGAACATTTTCGATAACACCATTCACCTTTTTCATGAGATTCGAAGGGAATATTGGCAATATAATTAGTTCTTCGACATTCCCAATAGCATTTAAATGGCTACGCAATATTTGCAATCGTACACTACGAATGGCACATTATACTAAGCTGATCTCCTGAAATAAACTTGCATAAATTGCCTTAAGGTCTGATTATTGCAACTTAAAGTAACTTACGGCTCTCTCTTAAAAATTCTGTTAAATGGGTGTTGCTTATAATTGAACAGTCGAAACTCAACGTAAGTTAATGCCACGTCGAAATCTGTTTCATTTTGATTCTCTAAGTTCTACGTTCCGTTAAGTTAAGTTAAGTTGCCATAATCAGACTTTTACAAACACAGCCATACGCATATGCGCTCTCCTACTTACATACATATGTATGTACCACAAAAAACGGCATAGTTTTTCCGATAAGCTTTGTCATCGCAGAAATACACTCGAAGGTTTACCATTTTAGAAACTAGTCCCAACAGTAATCGAACCTATGTCGCACCGAGTGACTGTGCACACTTCTAACCACTCGACTACGGCGGCCGTACATACATACATATGCATGTACTATGTACCTACATACTTATGTCAAAACATTCTTAGAAGTTTAGTTAATTGCATGAATTTTCACTACAACTTACGACTCATAGAACGAAATCCGTGATCTTCACTAACAGACAGCATTTTTTCTTCTAGATTAATTAGTTCTTTCTTCATCGTAATTGTCCTTGCAATTTCGCAGATACTTTCACATTTCAATTCGAAGCTTTTCTCAAACTCAAAATCACAAACGGTCAGCTAAAACGGAGGAAACTGCGGAATCAATTATTATTTTTTGCGATACAATTTTCATTCCGTATCCAATAAAGGAAATTCAATTTGAAGTATATGTCACAATTTATAAAGCTCACTATGCGTTCCGCCACAAAAGTGATAATTTCAAAGTTATTTTGTTATTTGAAGTGTTATTGCGAACATGTTGATTCCGCAGAATCTCCACGTGAACTGATTGTAGGCTAGATTGTCCACTCTCGCGTATCCCCCAGATGCTCACCTACCGTAGAGTGACGTTGACGGTCACGTCTGGCATTGTTAGTGCGCTAACATCAGGGTGAGAGTTGAAAAAGTGAAAAAAACGATGTGTCCTGGCTGCTAAGGCAGCCAGGGTGAGTGAGTCTATCTCTTTCCAATGGCATGATCCTGCACAGGACCCCATATACATACATATGTATATACAGCCATAGGTATGTATGGGGATGGGCATAGAAATTAATTTGAGTATGAGTTTGGATGGTCACATGTACATACATACATATCTACATACGAATTAAGGGATGATGCGCGAAGAGTGGTCAGAACTATTTATTGCTGTTTGAAAGTGTTTTGTATCAGCGCGAAGGCAATTCTCAAGGAAAAAAGTGAATGTGAGTGAAAAATGATTCAGAGCAAGATCGCAGTATTCAGAATGCTTATTGATGTACGCTGAAAGATTTCTTGTGCTTACGCATACATACATACATGCGTAGGGATTCATTTATCTACATTTTTTTATCAATTCTTATGGGTAGTGATTACTTTTTTGTTTAATAAATCTTTCAGAGTTAGCGGCTATTTCTGCATTTTTAACTCAATTTTTAGGAGGCTATGACAGTCCCTCAGGATATGAGCGATATGTACCCATTCTGTAAATTTATTAAAGTCTCACTATTTCTGGTTTTCAAAAAAAAATCCGTTTACTCAAGCGCTACGATCATGTTCCTTCTGCGTTTCTCGTCTTATTTTCTGCACTGTCACTCGCAAATCATTTTAAAATTCTTTGCTATAAAACATATTAATAGATCTTGTCAGGCCAGATGATAAGGCGACTTTTGGCATTGAAATGTGTTTTCATAAAATTTGTCATTGGAGAATATTTGGCTTAAAGTACATACATATGTACATATCATCACCTGAAATGCAAAAAAACTAACAAACATCATCGTTGAAATACAAAAGGTCATAACTAATAAAAAATTCAAAACTCACTGTTGACAAAAATACGGCAACACCGCAGTTGCTTGATTGAAAATTGTTTGGGGACGTTTCCCGTTTTTGACATTTGGTTTGATTTTCACCGCCAAATGAGATTGACCTTTTCAACTTTCTTTAAATCGAAATTTGTAAAGTAAATCAGGATAGATCCTTCTAAATACTAAAGTAAGTACATACTGTATATATGTATTTGAAGCTAAACTCAAGGAATAAAACGAATCCGCAGATATTTCAAACGTTACACAACAATACATGCGTTTTGAGACTTTGGGCGTGGGATCTAACCTCTGAATTTAACATCTTTGAAATATTTTATGGTTATTCGCCACCATCTACAAAATGCCAAGTAATCAGCAACAAGCGGGCTACAGCTGCAAAATCTGCTCGAAGGCTGACAATTCGCAGGTGGTCTGCTGCGATGATTGCGATTGTTGGTTTCACTTTGGCTGCGTGAAAGTCACGGCTTCGATCGAGCACGTGGACTGGCACTGTGCAGACTGCTCAGGTTCTTCATCACGTACAATGATAGGAGCGGGAGAAAATAAAGGAGCTTCCAATGGCGCACCAGCCACGAGGCCAATTGAACAGCTAGAACGGAAAACCGCTTCTAATACTAAGCGTACTGCCGACGTAGGCACACCTCAAGTGACCAGGGACCTAGCAGATGGTGGAGCTGGTGCCTCCATACGTACCAGCGCAAGCAATAAGTCAGCAAGGGCTCGCCGGCAATATGCCGAAGCAGAAATTATTGAAGAAGAGCTGCAGATTCTACGACGAAAGGAGGAGTTGCTTAATAGGCGCAAGAAGTTTCTGCGTGAACTAGAAACTGAGGACGAATGTTCTAATATGGAGGAGGATTTGGACACGATCGCCGTACAAAAGTGGCTTAATGCTACGGGGCCCATCGTGCCCACTACAGCGTCACCGAAAGTATCGCCCACGGATCACCAGACTCCAGCTGATCTACACAATGGCGCCGCTGCTGCCCCTTCGCAGCCAAAAGACACGCTGGACGGTAGCAACAATATTCAGAGTGAAATCCCTTTGATGCGTGAAAGGCTCTCCATGGTCGAGAAACTAGTGCACACTCAAACGGCTCCTGGAACCGGTACGCCGTGGCTACCAAAATTACTGACCGATAGCCCAGCGCAACCTTCGGTTAGTCAAACTGCAGACGAACACGCTTCAACGCAGCCACAGCCTAATCGCTGTCTTACGAAAAACCAACTTGCCGCGCGCACCAGCCTCGGTAAAGATTTGCCTAAATTCAATGGTAAGCCAGAAGAATGGCCCTTGTTTATGGCCACCTACCAACAAACAACGGAAATGTGTGGGTTTTCTGACGCCGAAAACTTATTACGCCTGCGTCAATCCCTTGAGGGAGCAGCACTGCATTCCGTAAGAAATTTATTGCTACATTCTTCGTGTGTACCCCAGATACTAGAAACTCTCAAAATGAAATTCGGTCGCCCGGAACTTATCATCGCCGTGCTACTGACTAGGATCCGTGAAATACCAGCAGTGAAGGAAAACCGACTCGAGGCCCTGGTTGATCTAGCGTTGGAGGTCCAAAATGTTTGCGCGACCATGAAGGCTTCAAACATGTTGTGTCACTTGAACAACCCAGAGTTAGAGCAAGAATTAGTTAATAAACTACCGGGACTGCTAGCAGCATTTTGGGGTATGCACAAAATAAAACTGTCTTCATGCAACCTCGAAAGCTTTGCGGACTGGCTGTTTCAATTAGCCCAAGGGGCGAACAGCGTGCTCGTACCTTGTACCACCGCGAAGTCTACTGCCAAACGCGGCTACTTGAATGCGCATGCGGGTAACGTCAGTGTAGGGAGAAATGGACCGTGCATTGTCTGCCACGGAACTTGTGGTTCTCTTGACGCATGTAACACATTCACAAGTGCAGATAGGTCCGAACGGTGGAGACTTATACGCCAGCATTCCATATGTCGTCGCTGTCTAAAGGTGCACCTCCGCCTTCAGTGCGCTTCTACAGCCGTATGCGGAACGGACGGTTGCGCTTCAATTCACCATCCTTTGCTTCATAACAAGCAGGCCCTTTCGGTCAGCTCACCACTCGCTAACCATGTGCTCAATGCTCACGATGGTGCAACTGACTCAATTCTATTTCGGATTTTGCCTGTGACGCTCTACAATAACAACAAGAAGCTTCACACATATGCCTTCTTTGATGATGGCTCTTCGCTCACGCTTATGGACGTTGAGCTGCAGGAGAAACTACAAGTGAACGGCGCCCCGCAACCTTTGTGCCTCAAATGGACTGCCAATACTCACCGCTATGAGGACGACTCCCAAGTACTGGATTTAAAGATTTCTGGAGCCGATGCTAAAAAACGTTATGTGATAAAAGACGTACACACGGTGCGGAAGCTTGAATTACCAACCCAGACGCTCGATGCACGCGGTTTGCAGACCAAATACACATACTTGAAGGGCTTACCATTGCCCTCCTATATAAACGCTGTGCCCAAGTTGCTAATTGGCCTCAACAATAGCCGTCTGGGATTAAGTCTACGCTCTCGTGAGGGCAGCGATAACGAGCCGGTAGCCGAAAAGACGCGTATGGGGTGGACGCTGAAAGGGGTTACTGGCAAGCAGCAGCAACGTTCGGGGTATCATGCATTCCATACTTGCGACTGCGACACTGCCGCTGACGTTGAGTTACTGCAAGTTGTCAAGGATTATATATGCTTAGATAACCTCGAAGTCACACGAAAATTCAACAAACTGATGGCTAAAGAGGACGAATATGCAATCGAGCAATTGAAGTCAAATACGAAACGCATCGACGGGCGCTTTGAAACGAGCCTTATTTGGAAATACGCCAAAGCCACTCTTCCGGATAGCTTACCATCTGCCTTGCGGAGAGCTAAATGTCTGCAGGCAAAACTCGCGCGTGAGCCGGAACTTGCCGAAATCGTCTCATCCAAGATTGCAGCCTATGTGGCCAACGGGTACGCCAAACCTCTAGATGACGGAGCGTTATCGGAAAAGGGGTGCTGGTACCTGCCGATATTTCCTGTACGTAACCCAAATAAGCCGCAAAAGGTCCGAATCGTCTGGGATGCGGCTGCTAGCACGAAGGGTGTGTCCCTCAACTCGATGCTTTTAACAGGACCTGATCAGCTTACATGCCTGGTATCTGTTCTGCGCAGGTTCCGGCAGAAAGCAGTAGCTGTGAGTGGGGACATTCAAGAAATGTTTCATCAAGTCAGGATACGGTCGCTGGATCAGAACTACCAGCGTTTTTTGTGGTTTGAGTCAGGATATGTTAAGCCGTCAGTTTTCGTAATGACCGTGATGACGTTCGGGGCTACCTGTTCACCTAGTAGCGCTCAGTACGTGAAGAACTTAAACGCGGAAGAATTTCGCAGCAGCCATCCGCGGGCCGTGGAGTGTATTGTCGACAACCACTACGTCGACGATATGCTTGACAGCGTCGACACTGAGGAGGAGGCTATTCGGTTGGCCAGGGACGTAAGTTTTGTTCATGAAAAAGGTGGCTTTCACATCAGGAACTGGCATTCGAACTCGGAGAAGGTATTGCGAGCGTTGAAGACCAACAATATGGAAGGTGAAGTAAGTTTAAACTCTGACGAAGAGATGCCAGCAGAAAAGGTTCTAGGCCTATGGTGGGTTACTCAGGAAGACTGCTTCACATTCCGCGTGGCCCGGAATCACAAAAACAAGAACCTGTTGCTTAATGACCGCTGCCCAACAAAGAGGGAAGTACTAAGTATAGTTATGAGTATCTTCGATCCGTTAGGGCTTCTCAACTTCTACGTCATTTATGCAAAAATAATGTTTCAGGAAGTTTGGCGATCTGGGTGCGGTTGGGATGAATACATTCCCGAAGAACAGTATTTAAGTTGGCAGCGATGGGTGAGACTTCTTCCCAAGATAGAGACCTTAAGAATACCGAGGTGTTATTTTAAAAATGTGGAGTGTGGGTCCGAGCTGGAGATGCACGTCTTCGTAGATGCCAGTGAAAATGCTTATTCGGCTGTGTGTTATCTTCGCTACAACAACAAGGGAACCGTCGACTGCGCGCTAGTGGGTAGCAAAGCAAAGGTGGCGCCGTTGAAAATGTTATCCATCCCGCGTCTTGAGTTGCAGGCTGCGGTTTTAGGCGCTCGATTAGCTGCAGGTGTACTTGCTTCACACACATTGCACATCCAACGTCAAACCTTTTGGACCGACTCTCGGACCGTCTTAGCTTGGATTCGTTCTGATCATCGTCGTTACTCTCAGTTCGTTGCGTTCCGAGTAAGCGAATTGTTAGAGCTTACGGAGGTGAAGGATTGGCGATGGCTTCCTTCGCTGGACAATGTTGCGGACGACGCTACATCATCGTATCGACGTATACATCACCGGAGATATCCAGCGAAAGTCGTTGGTTCAGAGGACCGTGCTTCTTGCGACGGGAGCGAATACACTGGCCAAACGACGTTGACAACACTGAAACCACCTACGAAGAGCTTAGATCCCGATATGTAGGTTACCATGGATCTGCCCTACCACATCACGAGTACCTATCAATACACGAACGTTTCTCTCGATGGTCCCGCCTTCTGCGTGTAACGGCAACAGTATTTCTAAGTATTCGTATCTGGAGGCTCTACCGCAGATCAAGTCCTTCGCTTCGTCGACTAATTGATCAAGATGACCTTAAGCGTGCCGAAATACATTTGTGGAGAGAGGCTCAGTCGGACGTATTTGGGGATGAAATCGCCGTACTTTCAAAGGGAAAACCAGTAAGCCGATCGAGCTCTATATATAAGCTTTCACCGTACCTGGATGAGGTCTCCGTCCTACGACTCAGTGGCAGGGTCAGCCTGGTAGGGCATCTGGATCCAGTTATATTGCCTAGAAACCATAACATAACTCGCCTGATTATTCTGGACTACCACATCAAGTATCTCCACGGCAGCGCAGAGACAATGGTAAATGAATTACGGCAACATTTCTACATACCTCGACTACGAGCAGTGGTCAACAAGGTACGTCGTGAATGTCAAGTATGTCAACTTCGCAATGCAAAACCACGTCCACCGAAAATGAGCAGCCTACCCCCGGCACGAGTAACAGCATTCGTACGTCCGTTCACATACGTGGGGTAGATTACTTCGGTCCTCTACTAGTGGCGGTACGTAGGAGTACTGAGAAGAGGTATGGCGTGCTCTTCACCTGCCTCACGACGAGAGCCGTGCACCTAGAAATAGCTTATTCGCTGTCTACGGATTCGTGCATTCTCACTGTTCGAAGTTTTATGGCCCGACGAGGGGTACCGTTCGAGTTCTGGAGCGACAACGCCACTAATTTTAAAGCAACTCAGCGAGAAATCACCGCTGCCTTCAGAGAAATAGACAAGGAAAAGCTTCAGAGTACTTTTACGAATTCGTCTATGCAGTGGAAGTTCATACCACCTGCCTCACCGCATATGGGCGGTGCCTGGGAGCGCCTCGTGCGCTCAGTGAAGGAAAACCTAATGAGGGTATTGCTAGCATCACGTCCCTCCGACGAATTACTCCGCGGCGCTTTAATGGAGGTTGAATCGATCATAAACTCACGACCGTTGACTTACATACCGCTCGACCACTGCGGAGACGAAGCACTCACTCCAAATCATTTCCTCTTGGGCAGTTCCAACGGGATGAAACCGCTAAGCGAGCATACCGGAAGGCCAGAATCAATGAGAAAGGGCTGGAGATATGCACAACAATTGGCCGACTCGTTTTGGAAGCGCTAGTTGCGCGAGTATCTGCCGGTGATAACGCGCCGCACTAAGTGGTTCGAGGCCGTAAAACCGATTGAGCAAGGAGACATCGTGTACATAGTGGAACCCAATGGACCCAGAAACTCTTGGCCGAAGGGTCGAGTAATTTCAGTAAGGGTAGGCTCTGATAAACAAGTAAGAAGCGCCGTGGTAAAGACTAGCACCGGCATATATGAGAGACCAGCCACGCGACTTGCCGTTATTTCTATTGTTGCTCCGCAGGAACGGGTAAATCCGGAGGATATACCGGGGGGGAGTGTTGACAAAAATACGGCAACACCGCAGTTGCTTGATTGAAAATCGTTTGGGGACGTTTCCCGTTTTTGACATTTGGTTTGATTTTCACCGCCAAATGAGATTGACCTTTTCAACTTGCTTTAAATCGAAATTTGTAAAGTAAATCAGGATAGATCCTTCTAAATACTAAAGTAAGTACATAGTGTATATATGTATTTGAAGCTAAACTCAAGGAATAAAATGAATCCGCAGATATTTCAAACGTTACACAACAATACATGCGTTTTGAGACTTTGGGCGTGGGATCTAACCTCTGAATTTAACACTCACTTTTGATTTAAATGATAACAAACATCATCGTTGAAATACAAAAGGTCATAACTAATAAAAAATTCAAAATTCACTTTTTGATTTATATGACGGATTTCATTTAATTACAACTCCCCACATCATTTTATGAAAAAAAAATTAAAATATCAGTCACGACTTTTTCCATTTCATTTACGATGTTGTTACGTCTTTTTGCATTTCAGGTGACGACATGTATGTAATTATTCCCTTCGACGTATCAAACGTCCCTTCGACGTATCATGCGATCGTCACAATTGGAGCTTTGACTTACTGCCTTGTCTCATGATTAAAGGATATCAAAAGTGTTGCATATGCACATACATACTATGTATGTATGTATGTATGGCTGAGTGGAAGCCAGCCAGTACGAAAACGCCCTATCTCAAAAAATTTTTCAACAACGCCCTAATTCAGAATTTGGTTGAAGAACGCCCTATCTCTGAATTTTATGGAAGAACGCCCTATCTCAGAATTCGATGCAAAAACGCTCTATTTTAAGCTAAGTCTACACGGTAGAGAAAAAACGCGAGACTTAGGCAGAAATCTCGTTAGAGACGTGTAAACACTCAATAGAGCTCTACCAGAGACTCACCTACACAGTCTACGTGAGAGTTATTCAGCGAAACTTTTTCGCCGTGCACACAGTCCATCGCAACTACAGTGACGAGCAAAACTGTAACATGGTGTAGCACTCTTTATTTCAGCCACCGCTATCTTTCCAACTGCTAACGACTTTCATACTTTTGTTGTATATTCTTATTGGTACACCCCTACTACCTCTCTCATAAAGATTTGAAGTCAATTCAACAACAAGAATAAAACCAGCAGGCAAAAATGTAAATTAAGGCCAATGTTACAGTTTTGCACTAACTCTCAGTTTTGCATTTTACAGTTATCTTTTACTTAGTTGGAAGTCAGATGACTTTTTTCTGTATTGTAATTTATTCAAGAAGTGATTACCAGTAAATAATATGGTTAATCAGGAAACATAAATGTAAATAATAGATTTACTGCGGAAACGCGGGACCGTAGGAAGAGTGGCAAAAAATTATGGAGCTCGCCACGTGAAAATGTTAAGACTGAGAAAAAATATAGCCTAAAATGTTATTAAGGACAAAGGAAGTCTGCCAAAAAATATTACGGTCCGACATCTTGTGAACTTAGCAGCAAGTAGCGATGCAGCCACTATCACAGAAGCGATTAAGGTATTAAAATTGAATGCAAATCAGTAGACAGCGAGGCGAAGAATTGTCAAATTGAATGCAAAGGCATAATAAAAGAAGAAAAAACCATTTTGATCAAAATACATGTGCGAGAGTGGTAACATTTTTCCGGATTGCACGAAAACCGGACCGTTGCCTACTGGGATATGTTAGCCCTTACAGAATGCAATAAAAAACAAATTTTTAAGATTTAATTGAAGGTTAGTTGGTCTGACAAGATTAAATTAATCGCTTTCAATCAGATGGCCGGGCATGGCATTGGATCAAAGACCCAAATTAAGCCTAAGCGCATCATGTAAGGCAAACTGTGAATCACAGTGGTCGGTCAATAATAGTTTGGGGTTGTATTTCAAAAGTATTGTTGGTCCGTTAGTACGCATTATGCGTAAAGAACAGTATCTGTTCATATTTCCACAAAATTTGCAAGATGTAGCCGAAAAAATGAGAGTTTCTGCTGAAAAATTACCCAAAACACACTGCACATGTTCGCAAAAACTGGATACAAAAGCAAAAATTTGCTAATTTGAAATGACCTGCACAATCCGCGGATATGAATCTCGTCGAAAATTTGGGAAATCAACTAAAAGCGCAGCTTACTAAGTATGCAAGTCCGTCCAATGGAGTACATGAGCTATGAAAGCAAACCAAGGATATATGGGAGGCTATACCTCCAGAATTTTTACAGAGATACAAATAAGTATGCCAAATTGCATCCAGGAACTAAAACAAGCAAAAGCATATTGAACATTGTGTTAAAAATTCTTTTTTTCGTGAAAATTGTCAAAAAGTTATTAAAAATATATAAGTGAAAAACTCTAACATATGCCTTAATTTACATTTTTGTCTGCTGGTTTTATTATTGTTGTTGGATTGACTTCAAATCTTTATGAGAGAGGGAGTAGGGGTGTACCAATAAGAATATACAACAAAAGTATGAATGTCGTTCGAACTTGGAAAGATAGCGGTGGCTGAAATAAAAAGTGTTACACCATGTTACAGTTTTGCTCGTCACTGTAGATCGAAAACTCTACGCTCTATTTGGCAAGATAAATAGAGTTTTTACTCTAGGGAGAAAATGCATTTCATCATAGTTTGTTAAATTTTCAAAAGACTACGACATTAAATCGTTTATTTGGTACAAGCACACCATCTTAGGTATATTAAGAAATTTTTATACCCAAGCGCACTTGTGCACAAGGGTGTTATAACTTTGTTCACATAACGGTTGGTTGTAACAGGCAAAACGAATCGAGACAGATGTAGACAAATGTATACATAAGTGATCAGAATGAAAAGAGCAATCGATTAAGCCATGTCTGTCCGTCCGTCCGTCCCTCCACCTGTGCACACGATAACTCGAGTAAAAATTGACATACATATCTTAACGAAACTTAGTACGTGTACTTCTCTCGGGCGTAGGACGGATGGTATTGAAAATGGGCAAAATCGGACAATAACCACGCCTACCTCCCATATAACGGTAGAAAACTGCGATATTTTAGTATCTACTGAAGATTATTCACTCAAAATTGATATTTACAATAACTTTTAGACGAAAAATAATAATATTATAAATATTTGGAAAATGGGCGTAGCCACGCCCACTTATGTTTACATGTATATATCTTGGTAACCACTCCACCAATTTCTCCCAAGCTTGGCACAGTTCTTGGCCTTGGTACGACATACCAAGTGGCTGAAAATTTTTTAAATTGGACAATAACCACGCCCACATCCCATATAACGGCAATTTAGAGAAATACCAAATCTTCGATAAATCAGTAAATACTAAAGCTAATTTATTCTAAATTGATTCTTTACCAGGAAATACGTTTATGATAAAATTTTGGAAAATGGGCGTGGCACCGCCCACTTATGATCACATATATGTATCTCGGTAACCGTTCGAC